GCTGCACTCCTGAGGGGCTCTAGAGCATTTGTTTTAAGGCTATGTTAGAAAAGGATTTCTGTTTTTGTTACTGAAGAGTCAATTTTTAGCTTGACTCTTCAGTGCAGTGTGTTGCGCCCATATTTGAAACACTGGCTTTGTAAGCACCAGCACAACCTGAAGGATTGCCAGGACGGCCTTATGTAAACAGGTCTGATTTCCCTCATTCTGAGCTTGAACAGACCAGATGCAAGCCTGTTTCAATCTTTACGTCTTATAGGCATGCTAGAGCAGGACTAAAGTGAACCTCAAAAACCCTATTGTGAGCAGACAGATCAAGTCCTCCAAAACATTTGTTCCTTGAGTGCTTTCATGTGGGTTTGCTGGATTTAAATTAACCTAAAAAGTCTTTCAAGCAGCATGCTTTGTGTGTATGTGGGTCATTCCAATTTTCTCTTTATACAACTGACTGGAGGAGTGTTTCAAGTATGAGGGTGAGGGCAAATTCTCACAAAACAGAGCAGCTTCAGCTGTCATCATCTTTCAGATAAATGTGAATTGATGTAGCAGTTGCCCACAGTGGGGTGCTTCACCTAGTGTCCCCTATTGTATTGCTGTAATAGGGCAGTGAGTATTGCTGGGGGGAACAGATCTTAGTATAGATCTTGCCTTGCTTTTCCTCATCTGTTGGGCTCTGCTACTGCTACTTAAGAGGAATTTGTTACTCTCCCTGTTGGAGACATCCAGCTGTGACCCAAACCCAGTGACCTGGGGATGTTCAGCATGAGCTGATTATGCTTAAGAAGGACCTTGAAACCAGGACATCAGGATACTTGAAAGGATACTAGAGAGGGTTTATGCCACTGGACACATTTGCCCTTCCCTGGGGTCTGTGGCTATTCAGACTGTGCTCAGGCTAAGGGCTTTTTTGAACTGTGAGAGCTGGAACTAGGACAAATTAAACACCCATCTTAATCAACTACCACTCTGTGAATTCAGTTGGGAATGAGACTTGATAATCTCACACTTAAAATATGGCCTTCACTCCTATGATGTCCTGTGCAGAGAGAAAGAACATTTTGCCTAAGTTCCCAGAATACTAATGTGGTTCGGACACTGGGATATACTGTAAGTGGACTTGAGTCCTACTCATAGCTGTTTGCCTCCACTTGCATCGGTTCATCAGTGGGCTGCAGTGAGACCCAAATAGAGAGATGAAGAATCATATGCTGTAGATTGTGAATGATGGATTTCTTTAGAGTGCTTGTTGTAAGAGAATTGAATTGAGAATTCATCTTGGAGTAATCTTGTTGGACAGCTGTGCATTGCATGAAACATTTGTCTCATACCTTCTGGTCTTGTCTGTATGATTTTGAGTGACTAATGCAGCTTCATAACCTAGTTCCTGTCCCTTTCCTCCCTATCCTTCATCCCAAGTCTTGGAGTATTTTCTGCTACACAAAACAGCTCAAGACAAGATGGTCCTACACAGGAGAACTTTGTGGCTAAAAAACCCTTCAGGAGTGTGTGAAAGTTGTGGTGGAGAACAAAATTGAACCTATGTTTTACGAAGCCTGACAGATGTTCTTACTGCTAGGCTACCGAGTAAAAGGGGCAGCTGAGGAGTGAGAACTGCTCATATGCCGATAATGCATCAACAGAGTTTTAGGTTACTAGCTTCCTGCAGCAAAGTAGGAAACTGAGCAGAGTGCTAATTCAATTTCCGCTATGTTCAGAGGCATAGTGATCTGTACGTGACCTTGTGCAAAGGATTAGTGGTGTATCTGCCACTGAATTTCTGACAGCATGTAGCTGACAACTGCAGATAGACTCCTTGCCTTTTTTTTTTCTCTATTCTGTAGCTGAAGCTGATGGCAGCAACATCCCTTAATTCTGACCATTTGTTGTAGGTATATTTCTTCTGTTTGTACTGCCTCATAAATGTCACTCATTCTGTACACAGCCTTTACTTGATTTAGTTTAATGTGGATTTTGTAGATCTCAGTGTATGTTAATTTGTTGGTAATAAGCGTCTAGTTACATCTTTGTCTTTTTTATTTATTTTATTTTAAAAGAGTTACAAGTATGTCCAGTTGTTAAGGTCATCGGTTTTAACAGCTAATGTGCAACATTTACTAAAATGTTGAACATAGTAACTTAGCTAGTTAGAACAGATATATTCACTTACTGCATAATAATAAATACTGTAATAACTTAAAATTAATTTTCTTTCAAACCTTCTTGTGATCATCTATTTGACCTTGGCCACTGGATGTTTTGCTCTTAACTGCAGCAATAAACTACCTACAATTAGTGGTAAAACAACGTGGGAAACTCCTTGGACTTCTTTGCGTGGGATTGAGATTCCAGTTGGGATACTCAGCTGGCAGAATTTCCCTTTGAAGCCCACAGGAAGGCAGCTAGCAGCCTGGTACAGAGCCGTGGAAAGTCCTTTGTAGCTCAGCTACCACCGGAATTAGCTAATTAAAGATGACAAGCAGGCTGGGGGCCAATTCTGACTTTGTTTTGAATTTTTCTTTATTTCAGTTTGACCAAACAAGAAGTTCGTTGAACAGGTTTTGTGGATGTTGTTTAGCGGGAATATGAAGAGGGTTTTTTACTTACCAATATTACTTATTTTTTTAAGAAGTTTGCACTTTGAGCAGCTTTGTCAGTTACCCAGTTCTGAGCCTTTACCTTCTGATGCTCAGTCCAAGAAGACTTGTTTGGCAGGTAGAGAAAAAGAGGAAAGTCAACCAATAGCATATATTATCATATACTTGTATGCATGTGTCACCTTTGTAGCATTCAGACAGCTGGAGCAGGCTGAGTCTTTGGGAGTCCCAAATAATACCTGGTGGTTCTTGGCTCTGGGGTTTTTCCAAAACTCCAGGAATTCTCCTGCAGGGCACTCCGTGGCTGTAATACACATCCGTGGCACTGGCAACACTTTGGAAAGTGGGTGGAAAGTTAGACAGGGAAATCAGTGTTTCTGAATTTGCTTGTTTCAGGAAAAGGCCTTTTATTTCCTCTGAGGAGACAGCTGCAGCAAATGCTTCTATCAGAGTCTTCCAGATGTCCGTATAGACTGGAAATCCCTGAAACCCACTATCTAAAACTTGACATATTTTAAATACTTTAGAGTGCCTTTGAACTCCTCTACAGAATATTGCATCTCCCAACAGCAAGCCACAAATGTCCTCAAATATGGTATGCATTTTGCTTGGAGAAATGTGAAATAAAGGTGATAGCGAAAGGATTTTTAAAACAAAAAAACTCTTTGTGAGGAATCATAACTGCTCACACTTAAGAGTGACAGAAGGGCACTGGGAGTGAGCAGCAATGAGATTAGGTTAGACAGTTTTTCCCTCCAAATAGTTTTATTTTCAGCAACAGCCTTCAAACCTTCACTAGATGAGGTATATAACCCTGAAGTTAAATGACAGGTTTCCTAGCAGTAGGACTGACCTAATGAGAAAACTGTTGCTCAGATAAAACCTTCCTTCATATTGTTGTCCTTGCTATTTCTTCCATGTGCACAATCTGAAGATTTCCACCAGCAAAATTAACATTTTTTGTCTCAAAAATATTTTCAGCATGAAAGCTGAAAGCCATGTAGCTAGTGTGAATGAATTCTTGAAGGAATTGGTATTTGTATCGTATCAATTGAATAAATTAATCTCTGCAGTGTTGTGGAGGTTACAGGGTAAGAGAGTTTCTGTTCAGTTGAAGTATCACACTTTAAAATCTCAGTGATGTTCTTATACTCTCCTGTACTCGTCAGAGGACTATTTGTATATGACACAACTTTCTTTCTAAATACTTGCAAAAGCAGCTTTGAAGAGGAAGGTTTGGATTAACTTTCTTATACATAGGAGCATTTTCAGTTTGAAGCCATTCTGTTGATGTCTGAACATGCTTCAGTGCCCGTTAACCGTAAGCTAATAGTTTTGCTAGTGGAGAGAGAGTCGTAAGTGTTGTAAAATACGTAATTGAAGATGATTCATGCTGTAGTATTGCCTCACACTAAGGAAGCTAGATCTTATCCCGCTATAAGCTTTATGAATAGTACTTCACTGGTGTTTCTCAAGCATGTTTGTGTGTTCTTTCCAACCCTTGGAGGAAAAAAAAAAAACAAACCGAAACAGGAATTCCTCTAAGAATTTACACTGCATGAGGTTTTGATTTTATTTCCTCATACTTCCATTGACTCTTCTTTACTAAGCCAGTAACGGGTCCAAAAGATAGGAAGATGCTCTGTATGTCTTTTTTTACTGGGGAAGAGAGAAGGACGTAGAGGAAGAGGAGAGGATGATTCTGTATTAAATCTCCTGCTGGTTTCACTCTTATTTCCCATGGCATCTTTATCCTAGCTTCTAATTTGCCTCTATCTGAAAAGAAAAACCTAGAAGCCTAACAATTATTTTGGGAAAATGTGGAATCATCTTTATTAAGGAAATTCTTTGGTAGTGGATGTAAACTGTGGATATATGACTGTATCCATCCTATCTGTCTGTCAAAAATGATCTCCCTAAAACCATGTGCTGGAGGCTGCTAAGTGAATTTCCAGGTCATTGTGGATGATGCTTTTTCTCAAGTCTGTATTTGATGTGCAGCATGCTAAAGTCACCTGTTCAAGGCTTAATAAAATTTCTTATTATCATTGTCCTGGTGCCTATTAACAAGTGAACTTCCCTGCAGTAGTCATGAGAATTGTCCTCTCTCTCCTCCACTGCCCTGCTAGTTTTCATGAAACTTAAAAAATTAATTATCCTTGAAATTTTGTTTTTTCCTGTCACATTTAGGACACTATTTTCAGAGGGCTGGTGGCAGGGTGGGAAAAGCAGGCAGATGAGCACAGTGCTTGATAACAAGTTGTAGAAGACCAGACCAAAATTTTGCTTCAGCTTCTGTTGATGTGAACAGGGTGTAGTGGTTTGGCAGTGCTATAAGAAATCATATGTTAAACTGTAAAATATGTAAACCTGTATCTTACAGTTAATCCCTTGTACCTTTTGCAGGTGGAGATTTACATTTTACCTCTATATATTTACTTATGGAGTACGGTTCCTGAAAAAGGTAGGCATTTATATTACTATGCTTTCATAAGACATCACAAATTTGTTTCAAGACTTGTATATAATATAAAGCACAAGCATAAAACTCATGTTCACAAAGAATAAAAAGTAAAATTTAATTTGCATTTGTGAAATAAATTGCTACTGGCATTGGTAAAGAATATAAGTTCTTATCAATACTTAATGGGGTAAAAACGCCTACAACTGGTGTAGCAACATACCTAGGTTACTTTATTACTTTTAATTCTGAGCATTAAGCTGGCAGTAAGGTTTACCACAATATTAATCTCAATTTCTGTATCATCCTTTATAAATGCCTGTGGCAGAGGTTCCTTTTTATTAAAAAACAAAATCCATTAATGTTTTAGAAAATGCTTTTTATTTGCCTGTTCTTTATCTGACATACTGTGGAAAGAAGTTTCCATGGAGTTTCCCATCAATGCTGTGTTCCTGGTGATATAAGCAGAGAAGGGTGTTGATGGCTTCTAAACACCCTGGTGTAGGTCTGTTAACCCTGCCACAGGTGGTAATATGTATTTATGGTACAAATTATTTTTTACAGCATGACTAGTTCTCAGAGCTTTTGTGTAAGTGAGGCCCTATTTGTGTAATTCTGAGAGGTGAAATTAGGGGGAATGTGTGGTCTCAGTGTGCTTACGTAATCTTATAATCTTCGTTTTGGACATGAAGTGGATACAGAAAATGGATCCTGAATGTTTCTGGTACTTTGTAAGTAAAAATAGTATTAAAAAAACCCTCATCGTTTTTATGATTCTAATTAATGAGGCTGTCCCAAGCGCCGGGCAAGTTGGTGCCAGTAGGAATGATGATATGCCAGTCCAGAAAGTGCACATCAGAGCCTTCTCAGCTGTTTAGTCCCAGTAAGACCCAGGGAAAGTGTGTGCACCAGTCCTCCAAAGAGACGAGCCAATACATAATGTGCAACCCCTCACTGCCTTTTTGAATATTTACAATTTCTGTGCGCTTCATCCATTAACGTGCCGTATGGTCATGATACTCTGTTTTCTGCCTTTGATTCCATCCATGTCTGTGGTAGGAAATACGAGAATAGTTTTCATAAGCAATTTTCACAACTTAAATTGTTGGCCTGTGGGTGTGTAGAGAGCATGACTGTGGGTTCATAGGATTCTGTAATACACAAGGACACTGAGTCTTTATCTTCTGAATTTCTTTACTTTATTACAGATTATCACAAATAATCACCATTGGTACATTAGCAAGTATCACAAAATGACTACTACAAAGCATACTTATGATTAAAAAAGCAAATCTTTCTCAACACAAAGAATATGTCTGTTCTAGGAAAAACTCTGAATACCAGCATTTCTAAAGAATAAGAAGAGTGCAGTAAATGCATGCTTCATTACAAACCATTGTGAGCTGTTTCTAAAGGCTGAGCTGACATGCAAAGTGTAGGGTGTCTTCCTTCCAGTTCAGCTGAAGTTTGAGAAGGGCTGGCTGATGTAGCATGGTTGCTTCAACAAGGTATACCTATACTGTTACTTGCTTAACAAAGATCAGCTGTGTAATTTTGATGTAATTTTAACTTTCAGTATGTTTAATTTTTACAAAAAGAACTTATTCATTATGTAATTGTGTATGTATTGTTAATTACTCATTTTTACACAGTGTTGCAAATGAGTCTGGCAGCATTTTATGCTATTGTCATTATTCCAGTGTTCTGCTTTGTATACTCGGGTCATTCACATGGAATGTATGCAAATCAACAAAATTATGATTGTGATTGTATTTGTATTTACACCATCTCCCTAGCAACATTGTGTAACTAAGAGGAAGTGCAGGCTTTTTGCTGTTTATCAAAAACCAAACATTTTGCTGCATCCGCTTGAGGGGGGAAATCTGGGTTTGGAAGGAATAAAATCTAGACCCCAGAATCTGGAGGAGTTGCTTATTTCAGAACTTCACTACAATACCAAAATGGATAATGCTTTTTAGTTTGTCTTGGTCTTCTTAATGGAATAATTTCAAAGAAACACTTAATTGATTCCTTAGGAAGCTCATGGGAAAAAAAGTTAAGCATAATAAATTCTCTTACAAATTTGATAGAAAGATCTTTTCTTCAAAAAGCTGTTTTTCCTGGAGAGAATGTCAGTGGTGTCGTGCTGTGCTAATGCTACAGTAGAAGTTTGCACCCTTTCAAATAAAAGTTCTGCTTAAGACCATCCCTAGTATACCTAGTCCAGAAGAGTGATAAGCATGGTGAGTAAGCCCAGGTGCAATGGCTGTCCCAGAACTATCACAGCAACATATGCTGCCTCGTTGGGAGAGGGTGAGAAAGAGTAAATACTACAGATGTTCCTGTTTTGAAGAATGGAATATGCCACCAGCATAGCACCACATTGGCAACATTCACATTGGCTTTTAAAACCTAAACTAATGCTTAGTTGATACATAACTTTGGATTGTTGGATAAGATATTGTGATGCAGTACGTCTTTCAAACATCCATATTTTTTTGAGAAAAACTGCATTTTGTTGCTGTTCAGATGGACAGAATCACTGGATGCTGGTTAGTTTGTCCATTTCTGGATAGCTAAGATGCCTGATTTAAGAAATCTGGTTTTGCCATCTGGTGTGGGAAGTGCTCCTTATTAGTTGCTCTCATGACTTCTGCTCTTATGAGGTACTGCTCTTAGAGAAGTGAACCAACTCAATAGTACAAAAGGCTCTTCCTAAAACACTACACTGAATGCATTGCCTCTTTTATAGTTTCTTTGTTGGCTCTTGAATTGGGAGGCAACAAAATACTCCGACTTCTATATTGTCCTTCCCCCCAGCTTGACCTAGTCTCCTTGCAACCTGCCGTTCCTTTGCTTTGCTTCATACATTCCTAACCTGATGGGTACTTTGTTTACATTTGGCTCTCTTAAATGTTCCTTCTTTAATTTAAGGATGAAATTTAGCTTTACCTACAAGACTGGCATGGGGCCCATAAATTACTTAATCATCACTTTGAGTTAGTTTTGAGGTCCTTTGCTTTGCACTGGCCCTTTGCCTAGAGATGAATTTCACCTTTTAGATTCTTTCTCAAAACACTTTTCTCGTAATGGCCCCAGCACATAAATGCTCCTTTATCTTCTAATGTCACCTTCCCTATTTGCTGCATAAAGCAATATCACTGCATCAGTGCAGTATCAGAAGTGTGGGTGTCTGTGTTTCCTTATTCACATCTAACAGCCTAAGGAAGACCTAGTCAGGATACTCCGGCAAGCCACCATTCTTGCAGAGAATATCATTAGGTCTTTATGGCTTTGTAAATCTTGACAAGCTTATCTAGCTTTTTGGGAAGATGTGCCCAAGCTTAATAAAGCAATAATTAGTTAGCAGATTTATCAACTCTTTTTTAGTTGTTGAATTGTGATACTGTCAGCATGGTATACATACCAACGTTAATTTATTTTTAGAATGGTAGTAACTAACTGCAGTAAAGTTTTACATTTGCCTGGCTAGAACATCTTGCAAGATGTTTCAGCTTTGATTTTCACTTTCCTATAGAAGCATATGAAAGCTAATAAAGCTGTCATTCAAAGCAATCATAGCTCTCTCTAGAATGCCGTGGCAAACTTGTCTTTGTTACCATCCATAGCAGGAGTTAATGGCTGATCTAGATAAAGAAATTTCTGCACTCACTAAAATAACCTGTAAGTCTTTGTAGTAACACTGCACATGATATGATTTATCAATTCTTTTCCCATGCTATAGTTGCTGAGTACATTGCTGGAGATTTAAAAGCTTTCTTCTCACTGAAAGCTGTATCTCTTTATCAAACTGTTCTCTTGGGTTTTGTCTTTTTTCCCAATAACAGATATATGCTGTTGACTCATAAATAAAGTAACAAAAAAAATTCTTACTTTTGTTGAAATGTATTTTCAAAAAAAATCTCAATTCACAGGGAGAAATGTCTGACAAAAAGCTTTGTCTTCAAAGTTTGCTCTATTGCAACAGAACCTGTCAATCTATATGTTTTAAATACATTTTTATCTTAATGGTGTCTGCAGGACACTTAGATTGGGCCATTTGCTCACTAAAGTTCACCATGAACTCCCGAAAACCTTTTAAGTTGGGAAGGCAGAGGATTTGCAATAGGGTGTCCTGCATGTGTCTGTAGTTGTAGGCCATGGAATCGTGATCACTGACATTGCATGTGATGTTTTTTATCAATGTAAAATGCTCAAAAAAGTGTGCTTCCACCTTCTCTCCCTTCCTCTATCCATATGGACATATGCTTCCCACAGCCTCTGGATTGTAACAGCTGCTTCACACACTCTCTCCTGCATCTTGCCAACTCCACCACTGAACTCTCGAGGCAGTAGACCTTTATGGAGTTTGCGCTGGTCTTGTCCTCAGTGTCCCCTAACTCAAATGGGTGTATGTTGTCAACTTGGTCTTTGTTGTGACATCATGTCATTCATGAAGTGACATTGTAAGAATTAATTTCTTTCTTATAAAATGTACTGTTGATGGCATACACCATATTCTGCTGCTTTGATTGTTTCTTGGGCCTAAAAAAACTACCATTAGTGTCCACCACCTTCAGTCAAGAGGTGATTTTTAACTGCAGGGTGCAGCTGTGTCATTGGTATGTCTTACAAAGGTTTGTAGTATCAAGGAAATACATGTTTCTTCCAAGAATTACTCTCTTCCAAGAGAGAACTAAGTCTGGTAAGAGAATAGGGAAGGCAAGACAGTTGCTCTCTTACTCAAAAATGGAGCACACATAGAAAAATAGCTCACAGCCTTCCAGATACTCAGCCAAACCGTTGCATCACTTACAAATTGTATCTTAATAATGTATATGTAAGAAACCGACAGACTTCTGTAAAATTTTTCCCATAGTTACTAGTATTTAATTGTTGTATTAGACATTTCTCCCTTCCCCAGCTGTCAGCCTTTTTTTTTCTCCTTTGCATCAAAATAAGTAAATTAATATTACATAGCTGGTTTAATTTTATAGGGGGTT